ATACCTCACTCCATGCTTTCCTTGATTTCAGGGTTTGCATTGAGAAGTCTGCTGTGATTCTGATGGGGTTTTTTTCGATAGGTGATAATTTCCTTTCTCCAGCTGCTTTTAATATGTTGTTCTTGTGCTGAATTTCTGGAATCTTGATTATTATATGCCTTGGTGGAGAATTATTTTGGTCATTGGCTACCTGGAGTTCTGTGTTTCATTTATTTGTATGTCAAATTCTTTATCCGTGTTCGAGAAGTTATTTACCATTATTTCTCCCTATTTTTTTTTTTTTGTACCAGGAATTGAACTCAGGACCTTGCACTTGCCAAGCAAAGCAATGTGCCACTAAGCTATATCCCCAGCCCTCTACCATTATTTCTGGGAAGAGATTTTTAATGGCTTTTGCACTATCTCCAGCTTTCTCCCTGATTCCAGTCAGTCTTAACATTGTTCTTTTGTTCACCCTGTAGCTGTTTGATAATTTTTTTTGTGATCTCTTGTTATTTTAAAATATCTTTCATTTCCTAGTCACTAATCATGTTCCTGTCTTCTAGATCTGATATTCTATCATCACCTTCATTCAGTCTGCTTCATATACTTTCAATGGAGTTTGTAACCTGCATTTCTCTTTGGATATGTTTCAATGATTCCATTTCTTGTGTATGTTTGGCATTCATGATTTCCATTGTTTTCCTGAGCTCCTCTATCTGTTTATCTGTTTCTGCTTTAATGTCTTTAATTTTGATAGTCATTTCTTTTTGCACCTTAGAGATTATTTTTTCTATGGCCTCTTCTATTTGTTTTGTCACTTCTGCTGCTATCATTTCAGAGAGTTCCATTTATTTGCTTCTGATTTCCTCTATCTCTTTGTGTTCTGTACTTGTCCTGGGTGGGCTGGCTGTTTGGGACTGCGTTTTGCTTGTATTGTCATTTTCAACTTTATTTTGTTTTACTGTGTTGATGCTTGTAGATTTCTTTTCTTAGATAGCCTTATCACCGGAGTTGAGGCTTTTGTAGGAGGTATCTGTTCCTCTGGATATCTTCTAGATTTACATAGTTATTGGTGTTTATGACTATCCTAACAACCCACCTTCCCAATACATTAAGACTGAAGAGTTGCTATCTATTTGACTTAGGGCCCATTCCTTTGGTAGTAGACTCTCATGATGGTTATGACTCCTCACAGTCATAATGTTGTCATACAGAGGAGAAATCTGGTTGTAGCACATATGATATCCTGGTTAAACTAGTTCAGTTGGCAATGACAATATATGCAAGTACAGCCTGGCTACTGACAAACTATGGTAACTATTAGCCTGATACTTATAACTGTAGGAGGAAGGTTTACAGAAATATAATATAATCCCACTTATACCAGGAATTTCTATGCCATGATTTTGCACTTAGTACTGTGAGTTTATCCTGCTGTTGGGGGGGGCATTCAAGAGGAATAGGGGTAGGACAGAGAGATGAATAGTAGGAGCAAGGCTAGAGAGCACAGGATGATCATCCAGATTTTGGGTAATGGTAGCACACAGGAGGGAAGGATTGGAGGACTTGGAGTTCTGAAGTGAACCAGAAAGACAAGAGAGAATGTTTATTCACATGAGAGTATCATATAGTCAAGCAAAACAACTGATTAAAGAGAAAAAGGACTAGTAAAATAAAACAGAAAGGTTAGAGATCTAAGTTGTGAACAAGGAAGAAAAAGGTAAAAAACAGTGAACAAAAATATCCTCACACACCGAAAGAACAACATACAGAAAGAAAATACGACAAAACAGAAAAGTGAGAAAATGAGAAAAGGGAAAACAAATAAAAAAAGAAACAAACAACAAAAACATGCAAACAAAACAAAACGAAAAAACCCATTAATCCAGCTGAATACTAAGTGGGAAACCAGAGAAAAATGAAAATAGTTAAATTTCTCTAAGGTCTATAGTTCTGTGGCAGATCCAACTCTGATCCCAGTAATGTGTACTCTGGACAAGATTGCAGGTGGATTTTTGCTGGGTTCAGGTCTGATCTTTGTCTCTGGACTTGGGGGATGGGACTAGTTTTCTGTGGCTGGAGTTCTCCCCAGTTGTTTAAAAAAAAAAACAAAAAACCAAAAACAGAAAAGGATAAAATACAACAAAAGAGAAGTGGGCAGCCCTGCCTGCCCTCTTCTATTCTTCATGTCTTTGTCCCCAAGCACAACACTGGTTCTCTTAACTTACCACCTTTTGGCTTGTACTGTTACTGTTGCATGAGATATTTCCAGGACTCTAGTTCCACCTGTCCATCATGTGCTCCCTTTCTCCATTGACCCAGCACAGCACAGCTGACAAGAGAAATCTGAGATCTGCCCCTCCATATCTTCACTGCTGGGACCAAGAGCCCAGAGACCTGCAGGAATGCCAGCAACACGGAAGGACTCTAGCTAAGGTGCACATTCAAGGGAATGTAGATGAATGAACATATAAATTCTACCTTGGGAAACTGATAAAGGTGACACTGGAATTGGAGCTGAAGGACAGGCAGGAAGTTAGAATGTGGAAACCTCAGAATATTTTAAGAGGAAACATTAGCACAGGCAGAGAACAATAGGCATAAAGAGAAAAGCATGTTCATTAAACAAGAGGTGTATCACAAATATAACAAATTGGCAGCAGGGAGGGAGGGAAAAAGGAGGAAGACAGGATTAGATATGTGCTTGGATCAGATGTGATGGTCCCTACATGTCATTCTGTGGAGGTTTTGTTTTATTCCATAGGCAATGATGAACCATTGAAGCTTTTAAAAGACTATTATTAATTGTTTTCAGGAATATGACACATGGGCTAAAAGAGTTGGGTATTAGACATGGTACATTAGATCAAACTCAACATCCGTTCCTAACCACTTACCCACTGCCATCACAACACAAAATAAAACAATTTCCCCACCTTTCTTGAGCTAATTATGTGACTATATGAAGTTCTGGTTTAAGTATAAATACAAGTCTTCTGAAGAGGTTGTAAGAAAGCATTTAATTTTTAATTAAAGGGAATCAGAACCATTTTTTGCACATTTTGGCCTGCCTCTTCCTACTCTGAATCTGTATGTGTTCCCCAGAGGTAAAGTAGTGATCTTGTGATACGAAGTGACAAAGTAGCATGTCATCAAGATCCAAAAATGAAAAAGTCTAGTTCCTTGATTGTATTAATGATTTACTGTACCAATCCAGTACTAATACCCAAACTTCAGATATTTGTTTAAGTGATTGTGAACTGGTTTATTTGCAAACAGAACTCACTGTGGAGAAAGAAGGATTGAGATCAGTCAGTAAACTATTGAGATAACCCAAGTGATTATAAGATCTTGACAGAGAACAATGATAGAATTACATGAGGTAGAATAGATTTGAGAAGTAAGAAGAACAAAGAAGTAGACACAATTTAGTTTCAGGCAGAATGATATTGAGATATCTATGGGATGTCAGGTAGGTATAACTAATAAATAATTTAAAAAATAAGTCTGCAGCACTAGAGAAATATAGAAGCTGGAAATATGAAAATGACATATGGTGGCTGAAGCCAATGAAGTTGGTTGAATGAAAATGAGACAGTAATGTAAAGCAGATCACAAGTGATGCAGGCTGAAAAGGCTCACCATTTAAAGGATTCAGAGAAAGAGAAAAGAAAAAAAACAAACAAAAGTAGGAACAAAAGCAAGGAGAGGAAAGAATTCCAAGGAGGGAGTGATGGCTACTTGATAATTACACAAAGATTCAAGTATGTATAGATGCTAGGATGTTGGAAGTTAAACAAAACTGAAAGACGGGAACATTACTTTTAAAGTCACAGGAGAAAATTCAAGAGAGATGCTAGATTGAGGGAGGACAAAGTTAAGGAAAAGTTTTGTCTTTTGTTATTATTGCTTTTGTACAGAGAGGAGCTGAATCTTTTTAGAGATTGAGGAAACAAGTGAAAAGAGAAAGATGACATTAAACAGGATTGAAGATGACTCTAAACAAGATGCAAAGGATTGTGATGAGGAAACTAAACAGAAAAATTAAGCTTAGGAAATGGGGATGTATGGCTGAAAAGAGGTAAGTCTAGAAGGCAGATGGTAAGCTGTTGTAAATGGTCACTGCTGTAGTCAGGGTTTACAAAAGATTTAATACAGGACACATAATGTATAGAATTATTTTAAAATATTCACTCAACGAGTCAAATGCAAAAGAGTGCGGGAGATCTGTCCACACACTAGAGACCCAAATAATCCAGCTAAAGGCCTGGATCCCACAGCAATGTTCTGCATGAGTCCAGCTAAAGACCTACAGACCATGGCAATGTTCCCCATAAGTCCAACTGGAGGCCTAGAGGCCAAAATGTCTCACAAGTCTGTACCAAGGATCTGTACTGGGAAGGCCCAAGGATCAGTGGTGGAAGCTAGAAAATCTGCAGCAGCGGGATGAAGGATCTGTGCCAGCAGGCTGAGGGAGCTGCACTGGAAACAGGAAGGGATGCACAAGGTAAAGAACAGAGTTTCCCCGAAAAGAACTGCAGCCATCCTCAGTGACAGTGAGGACCCAAACTCCTGTGATGATGACAGCAGCTGAGTTCATATCAGGAAAACGAGCATGTCAAAATTCTCCCGGAGATCAACAGCCCACCATCTTCCCCTCCAGTTCTCTTTTTAAGCTATTGCCAACAATCCTCAGGTGGGCCCTTCACACCCAGAACCATGCTAATTCAGTTCAGCTGGGTGTTACAAGTTGCCCATTAGTTAATCCACCACAGCTGTGTCTAATAATTTTACTGGATAAAATAGGAAGCAATGTCAACTTTGATAGGTGTGAGAATTGAGGAGAATAAATGGTTTCTAAAACCTCCTCTGGGGAACAGAACAGTAAACCACCCCAGGAGCCAGTAGAAGGATTGCTGATTAGCACTAGGAGCCCATGCCACATACTGTAGGTCTTCTTAAACAGATATGTGCTTTAGGTATTTAAGAGTTAACATTAATAAAACAAAAAGACAAAGTCATAACAAGTGGATACTTTATTCCAGTTCTAACAAAAGGGAAAAAATGAATATATCCTTCCACACACTATTCTAATTTAACTGGCATTAATTTTGAAAATTTAAAGCACATAAAAATGTATATATGTAAATATATATAGTATATATATATGTAAATATATATATTCAGATTTTAATTTCATTGGTGTTTATCATCTTTTTGCTTTCTAATAAATGTCATTAAAGTCATTAACTGTGACCTAATACTTCAACTTGTGTCACTTAATGATTTAATACTGTTTGTCTTGCATTTAGTTTGTGTGTTAATCACTGACATGATTGGTCAAACTGTACACCAGAAGATGTAAAAAAAAAACTTGATTTAAGTTATACTGTGTATGTCAGTTACCCATTGCATGAATTTTTTCATCATCATTTGCAACTTCACACATTTTGTAGTTCTTTATGCAGTCTACTTTAGCTTCTAGTGCTGTACATATCTTCATCTTCTGGATAGGACTGCCCATGATCCATGAGTTTAGGGTCAGGCTTAAATGGGGTAGTACCTGATAAATATTAAGTAGAAAAAATAGTCATTTAACAAAATTTTTGTATTCGGATACAGCAGTGAACACAAGTCATAAAAATATCTGCCAATATGCGACTAATATTCAAGTTGGGTGAGACAGACATAAATTTGTGTAAAATATATATTATATCAGATGGTGGTAAATGCTATGCAGAAAAATAAAGCAGCAGGAAGCATATGGAGTTTGGGGGTGATTTGCAATTTTAAATAGGGTGGGTAGTGAAAACCTTCTGGAAATGTCATATTGGAGGGAAGAATTTAAGGAGATGAGTGTGTGTGCGTCCTATAGGTATCTTCAGGATGAGCTAATGGCAAGTGTAACAGACCCATGGGATGTCTGAGGAACCAATATGGCAATAGACAAGATGTTTGGGAGGGTGTAGAGTGACGGGACATATGATCAGGCTAGGTTACACAGCCGGTTTTCAGGACTTTAACTTTAAGTGAGATAAGAACCTACCGGGCAATTATGACTGGGAGTGATTCAATGTTGTTTTTAATAATATCCATCTTAGGTATAGAAAAGAAACCACAGGGGAATAACAGTGGCAAAAGGAGGCCAATTAGAAAATGAGTGCAGTACTCTGGGTAAAAGGCTGAGAGCTTTGATTAGGGTGATAGAATTGGACATGGTCAAAAAGGATTAGATTCTGAGTAATTTTGAAGGTATAATGGATAGCATTTCCTAAATGAATATGCTACATGAGAGAGACTATTTAACTTAAGAAGCTGGAAGAATGGAGTTGGCATTTACTAAGGACAAAATATGGGAGGAGCAGGTTTGTAGGAAAGCAAATGAAATGTTAATTTTTGGATGTTAAATTTGAAATGGTTACCAAACAGCTGAGTATAAATACTGAGCAGGCAGCTAGCAATGTAAGTCTATAGAGATCACAGGAGGCTTTGACTGGTTTATTAATTTCACAGTCTTGCTGATATATAGCATTTCAAACTGCTAACATATGAGATCATATAATAAGAAATGTACAAGGAAGAAGCCTTTTGGATACTTCAATTTTTTGAGATCATATCTAGTCAGAGAAATCCAAGAAAGAAGTCTTTTGGCTAATTCAACTTTTTAATCTTTTTTTTTTTTTTTTTGGTTTTTGGTTTTTGGTTTTTTTCTCTGGTACCGGGAACCGAACTCACGACCTTGCGCTTGCCAGGCAGGCGCTTTGCCGCTGAGCTAAATCCCCAGCCCCCTTAATCTTTTAAGATTAGGAGAATGCAGCACAGAAGACTGAGAAGGACAGGCCAGTCAGTGAGGTAAGAGAACCAGAAACAGTGATATCCTACAGGCCAAATGAAGAGATAATGGGAGGAGGGCATTTAACCTGTATTAAAGAGATAGATATTGAGAACTGATTTCTACATTTAAAAAAATTCACATCAGTGGTGATCCTGACAAGCGTATCATGTGCCAGGTAAGACTTCATATTATTTTCATGCATCATTTCATAATATCATGATGAGATGTTATTTCTATATAGTTATGCATGCAGAATGTACCCGTCAGATGACAGACCACATATATGACTAACAGTGGTACTTTAGATTATACTGGAGATAAAATCACCTACTTATATAGAAGTGCTACGTATTATACATATTTAGGGTGATATTGATGTAAACAAAGCTATCTTCTGACAGCCAAATAATAATACAGCCACATAAAATTAGGTATAATAATAGTAGATGATAATAACAATTCTGATTTATGTCTTTAAAATACTATACTTTTCAACACTGTTTTATGGTATGTTCCTTTTACTTATGAAAAAAATTAGTGTTAAACAGCATGGCATGTTGTATCAGTAGGAGCTTCAGACAACTTGCCTTTACCACTTCTCTTGATTGTATCAAGAGGCCACACCATGTATTAACTTAACACTATATCTAGTATTGTGTCAGTACATTCTATGATATTTGCATAATGATGATATCATCCAATGAAAAATTTATCAGAATATATCCCAGTCTTTAAGCAACGCATAACTATATGATTCTTGTTTTACCATTGAGAAATTTTAGAGGGGCTAAATATAAATGTTGGCCAATGTCACTCAGCTGGTAAGTTGTGCAGCCAGTAATAAATCCAAGTTTCTCTGACACCAACAGAGCCACCTAGCTCTGTAAAATGGGGGTCAGAGCTACAACAATCTCATATGACTATTTCACTATTAAAGATGATAATGGGCACAAAGTAATATAGTACCTTGTACATGGTAAGTAGGAAACAAAATTATTTTTATATTTGCTTTGTTACACAATACTAAAAATATTCCTGAAATTTGTGATAATTTACATGTTTAAAAATATCACTAGTTTTAAAGTGGTTTTATTTTATTTGGGAGTCATACTTTTTCAAAGAATTTCATTTTTAGATTTACAATAAAAGCAAAGAGAAATAGATTTGAACACAATGATTTATTTTATAGATATCTTTTTGAAACATTTTCTGTTTTATGAAGTGTGGCACACCTATATATAGCTTCATCACCAAATATATTTTTAAGAAACAGATCATATTAGTCACTATTCCTAACAGTAATACAGTTCTCTGTAGATAAGGGATTTTTAACCTAGAGTCCCCTTAAGAGTCTATGATAAGATTCATAAGATCTATTAACTGAGATGGAGGAAATTTGTCTCTATCTTCACTAATCTCTGAATATAGACATTTTATACAATACTGAGTACAGGCATAAACAGAGTAGTATTAGGAGTACTTTATATTTTGTCACCAACAGAAATCACAGACGTCTTCATATCACATTACAATTTCAGATTCCCTCAAAATAGTAGACTACTACTTCAAAATTATGCCAGTTATTATTAAACATGTTAATAGATATTGTTTAGCAAATTTAAGACCATAAATCACTATGTATTTTTTCATCTAAAAACACTATTCTGAGAAGAGGGGGAATCAGCACAAAAAAGGGTTAAGAATCTGATAGTAGCTTTGCTTTCCCCAGGTTTTTTCATATGTATTTTTACTGTAACCTACTAGAAGTGATTGATCAGTGCAAGTAAAATGTCTGCTACGCAAGTTATTTTTAATCAAGTAGACATACTATCAGTAGGCATGTAAGCAACAATTTTGTCTTTACATGTCAAATTTCCTTAACAATGCAAATTGTTAGCACCTCTACCCAATTTCATAATTTTTATTCTTTTTCAAAGTCTGATCACCCAAATTTAGCTCACCCAAATTTCTTGGGCTTCAATAGTCCTTTTTCATTTGTATCTCAACCCCTCAAATTTCTTAAAAAGTTTTAAAATGAAAACTAAAGCATAAATAATTTAAAAATCAAAATAAAAAGATGGATAATAGGAATTAGAGAGATATTTTGCAAATGGGAAAGGGATTTACAGAAGGTAGTGGAGGGGAAAGGGAAGTAAAAAGAACTAAGATGTATTATGTGTATGTACCAACGCCTCACAATAAATGCAATCACCATGCACTGCAAACACATAGTAATAAAAAATTAAAAACTGAAACAAATACAACTATAAAATTTTTTTTAGTTTAGGCATAGCTTAGGTCAGACATCAGAGAAATATATATAAGAGTTCCTTGTGGAGCTTTTCCTAAAATGTACCTGTTAGAGGCCTTGTGTCTGGAGATTTAGATTTATAATTCTTGGGAAGAGCCTAGGCTTGTGAAGTTTGAAAAACAAACAGCAGCTACAACAAAATAACATCAAGTAACTGTGATACGGCTCTCTCTACTTTAGAACCACTGAGCCTACATTATTTGATTTCTGTCCATTTTGAAGGCTTCCTCTCATGCTTTTCTACCGAAATAAGGATTCTACGTTTCCTATTAGAAATTTCTTCACTCATTAAATGTATCAAGGGCTCTCTTTTCCTCTAAAAGGATGAGCTGTCACAAACTTCTTGGAACTGAATGTCTTAATCATTATGAGACTTTCTATTGCAATTTATCATGTGTGTTTTCTTAAAAAAATTATTTTCTGCATGAAGTTTCTCAGCAATCTTTAAAATCGCTGGTATTATAACTGAAAAAAATTAAAGATGTTTAAAATATAGCAAGTATTTTTTTCAAGTACACATTATGCAATATCTATTCACTTATAATTTAGTTCCCACATTATTCAAACAAGTTAGGTAGAAAGCATGTGGCAGAGCATTAAATTACCACGTGAAGTTAGGATTGTTAGAAATTTTACTTTTGTTTCTTACCATCAGGATGATATTTAACATTTAGCTTCTCAGTAATTTAAAATTTAAACATTTAAAGATACTAGTCAATAGCCAAGTGTGGTGGCGCATGCCTGTAATCCAAGCACATGGGAGGCTGAGGCAGGAGGATCACTGGAAGTTTGAGACCAGCCTGGGCTACAAAGTGAGCTCAAGGCCCGCCTGAACTGCATAGCAAGACTCTGTCTCAAAAAAAAAAAAAAAAAAAAAAAAAAAAAAAAAAAGGATACTAGTCAATACAAACCACTTTCTCATATTCTGTTCTAAACTTTCTATTCCTTTTTTACTTTCTGTGCTTAAGTTTTGTTTCATTTTTTTAACTTTCAGTATCTGTATGCTGAATTCTATATATTAGGTACAACAGATACAGTAAATGCTTAAATGAACAAAATTATTAAATTAAAAATTTCATTAACTCTCCTTAAAATACTCTACCTCTCCTTGAACACAATTATTCCATCATTCCTGCCACTTTCTGAAGCGGTTCTGGAAGTCCTCATTCATGAGTGTCTTTGGTTGTGCTGCCATGACTGCCTCAATGTCCTGATTCAATTTAAAATGTTCACCTTTCATGACCATTTTGATGCTAGGGAAGAGCTTGAAGTTGCATGGTTCCCGATGCAGGAAATAAGGTGGATGAGGACATGTCATAGTGTTTCCACAAGCTTGTCTTTCCATTGGATGGCATTTGGAAACAGCATTTAGTATATTTTATTATCACAGCTTGTAAAGGTACTCCCAAGAGGACTG